CTTCAGTGCTTATCACTGCCTGTTTTGCTGATTCTACAGGACGAAAGACTTCGCTTTAGAACGAGGGCCTTGTTTTAAAACAGGTGGGGTGCAGTTATTAAATTACGACGCTTACTTGAGAAGGGACTGTTGTGGCTGGTATTACTACTCTTGAACCTGTAAACTCTGCTTATCTATCCACGCCACAACAGTCCTTTCTGTTTGATGTAACACCCAGCCACCCAAAGAATTCCATAACATTAAACACTATCATATAAATCTTTTCGAACTCTTATTTTTGGGTTCGGACTACTGTTTTAGGGTTCTGACTTTTTCGGACTGCTATTTTAAGGTTCGGACTGCTATTTCACGGTTCCGAGTATCAGTTTGGAGTTCGGACTACTATTTTAGGATTCGGCTAAGGTTGGGATTCGGACACTGAAATTGGTTCAGGGTTCTTGACTATTTGCTTTTAGAGTTCAGACTATTCCTTTAGGGTTCGAACTGCTATTTTTCTGTTCGGACCATAAGTTTAGGATTCGGACTATGATTCTTAAGTTCGGACTATTATTTTAGGGTTCGAACTACTATGGCCATTATTTTAGAGTTCAGACTACAGTTCTGGGATTCGGACTACTATTTTAGGGTTCGGACTATTATTTTAGTTAGTGTTCGGACTGTTATTTTAGGGTTCGGATTACCTTTTGCCTTGAACCACGAAGGATTTGCCTTAAACCACGAATTGTCAGCATTGCCTTAAACCACGAACGATTGGCCTTAAGCCACGAACGATTGGCCTTAAACCACGAACGACAACGATTGGCCTTAAACCACGAAGAATTGGCCTTAAACCATGAAGAATTGGCCTTAAACCACCAAGAATTGGCCTTGAGCCACGAAGGATTGGCCTTGGACCACGAAGAATTGGGATTGAACCACGAAGAATTGGACTTGAACCACGAAGAATTTACGAATATTCGTGGCTTAAAGCAAAAATTCGTGGTTTAAGGAAACCACGAACGATTGGCCTAGAACCACGAAGAATTGGCCTTCAACCACGAAGAATTGGCTTTGAACCACGAAGATTTTAAATTTATATATGATGGAGGGTTTTACGATTTGAGTTTAGGGTGTAGGTTGTGGGGTTTAAGGTTTGGGGGTCAAGGGTTTAGGGTTTAGGGCAGGGGTCTTGAGAGTTCGGGGGTTTTGGGCGTTTCGCGTTTTGGGGTTCGGCGTTTTGGGGTTTTGGGTGATGGGGTTTTGAGGGGTTTCGGGGTTTGTAAGCTGGGGTTTTGGGATTCACGAAAGACTCATCCAGCCCACTACCCCATCATAAAGCACTCTTCCATCAAATGGATAGGCTTCTTCCTGGGATCTATGGATTATGCATGAGGTTAGGTAGGGCAGGTAGGGCTTCTTATTGTCGCTTGAGGAACGCTTTCTAGTCAGATGGGGTTTCGCGTTATGATCAAGCAATCTTGCTTGACCAAGGTGTGCTCTAGGGTTTCGGTTATATATATATATATGGGCGGTCGGTAGGACTTCGATTTGAGGGTTCAGGGAGGTTGACGCGCCCTGGCTTTGTTTTTCTTTGCCGCGCTTTACGACACGTGCCTTGCGCGGCACATGCTCGCTTTCAAATCCATCCCAGAACGGTGAGAAAAACGAGCACACGGTAGCAAGTAGAGTCTGAGGAAGACAAGAAGACTGCTGATGAGCTCTCTCGATGTTATTGGAAATTGGCCGCCCAGCGAAGCAGCATCTACAGTCGTAGAGAGAGAGTGATGCTGGCAGCAAAAGTTCGCAAGAGCGTTGCCAGAAATAGAAGCAACAAGACCACCAGTTCGACTTCCAGAATCAGCAAGACAGGAAAAAACTTCCCTCGTGGGGCTGGACAGTTCTCTCGCTGAGCCTGATTGCGAGGATTTCCAGAGCCTCCTGACGGATGGACAAGCTTCGCAGTGCGTCAAGCTGGTGGTGCAGCTCTTAGATGTGTCCCTCCTGTGTCGGGCAGATGAGGCCACTAAGCTTATAGTAACTATAGTGCGCCCTTTTGTAGCCCGTACAGTATCAGTCTTTTAGTATTCCTTAAAGTAGTTCACAGTAATTAACCCTGAGAGGCTTGTTCTAGAGTTCTGGTGCCATCTCCTTGTCGGCCAGAAGAGGTGCACCTGACTGACCTTCAGGTGCTCAATGCGTGCCATTCCTTCGCAGTGGGTCAGCACTTCGTCCAAGCCGGGGTGAAGCACGTGGTGGCTTGGCCACATCTGATCGACTTCTGGTTTTTGCCTGGGCAGTTGAGAGCACACACTCAGAGACTCCAAAACTCAAGCTCCCCGAATCGAGACCCCCTTGAATGACATTCCCCGTAGGCTTTCAGGTGTGTCTTGGAGGTTTTTCTACCTGAGGTCTGTGTGCAGGACGACAAGGAGGTTCGCGACAACAGCTGCCGCCTCTTTGCCCGGAACTTCTTCAGCGCCCTAAGGGCGGGTCGAAGCATCGGCGAGTCCTTCGGGTGGCTCGGCCGTCTGACAGCAGCCGAAATCCTTCACCATAGTCAGCTGACAGTTTGTTCCAAAGGAGAAGGCAAAGATAAGAAGACTTCTTCATAACTCGTCATTGCGACGAAATCGAAGAGATACTCGCCTCGCTCATATATCCGGAGTGCCCCGCCACCTCGGGTGCTGTCCATCTCAGCCTGGGCCAGAACCAAGGTGCGGGGTTGCTTCCCTGCGCCACAGCTCGGATGTGATGTGCCAGAAGGATGCGGGCTCCTTCGTTCTCCTTCCGGAAGGCAGGTAGTAGGGTCTAAACCCAAAGCCCTAAACAGGCCCTAAACCCTAAAACCCTAAACCCCAGGCTAAGCCCTAAACCCCTAAACCCCTAAACCCTAAACCTGGGATTTCGGATTTGGAGTGGCGGCTGTGGCCCTGAAGATTCGCAGCCGTGGTGAGAGCAGAGAATCGACAGAACCTTCGTCCAGCCGGACTAAAAATAACATAGTATAATATGGTATATTATGATATAGTACGATACATGACCGACACAATATAGGGTCCTTAATAATTACCAATACTATTTTGGGGGTTCCTTAATTATAGTTATGGTACGATATACACCAAAATCCTATTCTAATCATCAAGGCCTCTACATTAGACCACGTGCTGGGAGACCCACCTACCACCGAGCTAGGCGGTGACCACAACGTTGTGCTGGCTGGTGTGGCTGCGACCTTGCCGAGGTCGCATTGGGGTTTGTCATTCAACGACCGACGTGGGGGGATTTTTTTTTGGGGGGGGTTTCGGGGGTGTGTTTCTTTCGTTTGAAGGTTGTGGGATGTTGTAGGATGGGGCAGGCAGAGCATTTTCCGTACTTGCGCAGCAATGACTGAAGGCTTCAATGCCCAATTAAAGGTGGCATCGGCGGGGTTCGGGGCTCCTGGTTAGAGGGTCGGTGCTGCAGTACCTGTAGCATTCAGTAGGGCTGCTGTGAGAACCGCTTATGAGCCTGCTGCTTATGGATGCCCTGGATCTAACTTGAAGGTGTACGGAGCATCGTGCTCTGACGCAACACCCCAAATGCTGAGTTTTTGTTCAACCAATCCTTGCAGGGCTTTCAATGAGCCCTGCTTGTCTACATCAGGGGATTTACGCTTCTTTCCAAAAGGTTACGATGCAAGGGATGTTCTATCAGACAGCAGGCCTTCAGACCCAGCCGTTGAGCCTCGAGAGCCCGACGTTGCAACCCACAGAGCCCGGTTAATGATCATGTACAGGGGTCTACCTTGCCATCCTACCCAGAAGGTTCAGGTAATATAGATGTCTGCATGATTAGCAAGAGTATCCCCTATACTCCCTTTGTAGTAGTCCTACTAACGTTTAAAGCCCCCGTCCAATTCAACACTAGACCTTTATAGACACCCTTATTCCAGTAACTTTAACCCTATTCCAACTATATCAGGCTCCTATATTTCACACGACGAAAGCAGCTCCATGCTAGTTCCGCGTCACCGCGCTGGCTTCCTGCACGGGTGGAGGACTTCATGGGCCGCGAGGCCCTGGAATCGATTCATGTAAGGATCTTAATGATTTGAATAGGGTTTGGGGGCATATTATATCAGTACTTCTGCTTTAATGATTTGAACAGGGCTTGGGGGTATGTTATATCAGTATGAAAAGTGCTTTAATGCTTTGACTAGGGTTCGGGGGTTTACTATAGCAGAATTAGAATCAGGAGGTCCAAGGAACAGACTAGTTGCTGCGCCATCATCGCCGTAGTGTATTGTACGGGTTGCTGTAAGGGTATTGGATAGGAAAAAGGCTGCTGCAGAGCGTACTACAACGGTCGCACCATACATTGGGTTTCATATTGTAGAAGAACTCAGTGCTACTATAGATAGGTAACCTGATAGGTATATCATATTGCACCACAGGAGCATAGCTCGTATTGCAATGCCCTAGCAAATTGACCTGCCACCTTATCCGTTTAGTTTGCCAGTATGGATCTCTTCCTATATTTGTAGTCTTGCTTCCTTTCTTTGTAGTCTGGGTCTTACATTGACCGCACGATGGCACAGACCCGGTGTTATGTTTTTCTGTTGCAGGTGGGACTTTCCGAAAATTGGGGGTAGCTTATTTTGGGGTCCTTATAATAAGGATCCTACTACAGTATTTAGGGTACTATATTGGGGTCCCCTCTTTTCGGAAACCCCCAGGTGGACATCTGGAGGCTGCTGTGCCACTTGAAATCCAGGCCGCTGGTCCTCGCTCGTAGACCGATGGTTGAGGTTGTCTGATTGCCGTAGCACTGGTAGATATGCAAGCTAGATCACAAGAAGCGATCGTCGCAGAAAGCAGCGGATCCAAAATAAACAGCCCCAGACCCTAAGCCCTAGACCCTAAACGCCTTGAAATAGTGGCGTGTGAAAGCTTCGGATTAGTAGGTTCGAACAGTAAAAGTTCGGCTTAAGATGATCAGGGCCGAGGCGCTTGGGCTGTGATTGGTGGAAGTAGGCTCTACGCCCGAAACCCTGAACCCTGCATCCCTGAACCGTAAGCCCAACGACCCTAAACCCTACATCCGTGAAGCATAGACCCTGCAACTCTAAACCCTACATCCCCGAGCACTAAACCCTAGACGCTACAAGCCCAAAGCCCATTTGTCCGATCCCGGGCCCGGCGAAAGCCGAGGCGGCTGGTAACGCTGTCGGGGAGCAAAGGTATTCTTGGTCAATCTTTTTGGAGCCTTTTTGCTTTTTGCGGTTTGGGCTTCCTAGCATTTTTTAACACAGTCCGCAACAGCAGTCCTTTTTTCTTTCCTAACCGGGACTCAGGCATCGGGAAGACGGCGCTGATGGTTGCTGCCGGCCGATTTGTGCAGATGCGGCGCGGGGACAGCTTCCAGGATGGCTTTCAGGAGGTGTGGCTGGGTTGCAGGTCTTCGTTCGTGCATGCTGTTGCAAGTTTAGTCAGCAATTGCTGAAAGTCAGGCATGAACACAGAGTCAGTTTGTGTATTTTATTGCTTTGACTCGCCGGCCTACTGCTGCATGGAAGCATCAGAAAAATGGTGGTGAGCCTAAGCCCTAAACCCTAAACCCAGAATCGCCCAGAGTTCGAGCAGGGTTCTTGGGAAAGTCGTGTTGGGAGCGAACGGAAGTGAATGACCAGCACGTGTTGATCAGAGTTCTGGGTGAGCGCGAAGTTCTGTGCCACAGCTGAGCGAAGGGTTCAGGGTTTAGGGTTTAGGGTGTTTGCATGGCCCAAAGGGGGCCCACTTGCCTACCCAACAACGGTTTGGAAGATATTGCAAGGCGGACGCCAAAAAGGCCCTCAACAAAACAACCCCCACAATCGCCAAGGTACTGGCTAAATGGCTACTTGGATGCCTTGAGCCGCACGTGGAAAGCCAAAAGTGCTAGTCAGGGAAGAGAAGAAACTTGGGACCCCCATGGCTCCACAAGTAGGTAGCAGTCCCTCAGACAAGAAACCCCGGACCCAGAACTGTGCTCTAATCATGCAGGCCGATGTCACCCCACCACAACTAGCAAAAAGAACAGGCCTTGCGCCCGTTTTTGTTTTACTTCCGCGGGTGACCATCATCAACTTACAACCGCTTTCTGGCCTTGCTATCGTGGGTTTGGCCTTCCCTGGTCAGAACCCCACACCGTTCTGTTTGGGGGTGTTGATAGGCCGTTGTGGCTTTGTTAAGCAGGGTTTACAAGTCCTGATAACTGCTTATGGGTTTTCCCATAACAGCTGTCGATGCTTGCCAGGATGGGATCCGGAACCGGTTTAACGTAGAACAACCCCTGAATCCGAAACGCTCAAGCCTCAGCCGCATGGATGCTAGGTGATATCCCAAGCAAGATCTCGCAGAGCCTGCAAGATCTCTTGCGCGCATTGCAGGAGTTGCAGGCGCGCGCCAGCTTGATCGACGCCCCTTGCGCAGCCTTAAAAGCACCTTACATGAGCCCTACTTCCAGACCCTGACCAGAAAACTCTTGATCCCGAAGCTCTAAACCTAAACTCTATGTCATAGACTTCGACCGAACCAGAAATCTTTGCGCCACACAAACTTGTAACCCTATATGAGTAGTTCTCTAAATAGGGTCCCCTTTTAGGGGTCCTTCGAACAGCAAGACTGCTCACAGACTTCGAGACCTGTCAGGAACAACCGCAACCCTAAGTAGTAAGAAGAACAGCACGGCACGAACCCCCGTCTTTCAGCTCGTCCCGGGCCAGGACCCGAGCATACTGGTCCTGGCGGATGTGCCGAGCGTCTCCTCCAACAACTTGCCTCTGAAGCAGCTCTTGGAGGCCAACGCGAAGGCCGGGCTCAGTTTTTTATAGCTTAGGTTCGGGCGTTTCGAAGCATCGGTATTTTTGGGGTGTTGAGAGCTTGAAAGGGGCTTGAAGGCTTTGGGGCTCTCCAGGGGCTTTCAGGGACTTATCCTTCATGGCCATAAGCCCTAAACCGTGAACCCTAAACCCCTAAACCCCTAAACCTTATCAACCCTACAAGCCCTACACCCTAAACACCCATGTACTTTGGGCTCTTCGAAGGCCCAAGACCCGAAGGCCCGAAACTCCGTAGCACCGAACTCCTGGGCCCCAGGGTCCCATCGGCCCCAACTGGAAGATCAGAGTTTAGGGGTTTAGGGGTTTGAGGGTTTAGGTGTTTAGGGATTTAGGGGTGTAGGGGTCTAGGGGTTGAGGGGTTTAGGGTTTAGGGGTTTCGGGGTTAAGGGGTTTAGTGGTTTAGGGGGTTTAGGGGTTTAGGGGTTCAGGGTCTTTGGGTCTTCTTTCTCTGTGCCCTTTATACCTTATAGAAGCCTTATAGAAGCCCTATATACCCTAAACTCCCCACCTGTAGTTTCCTAAACCCTAAACCCAAAACCCTAAATACCCCAAAACCCTAAATACCCTAAACCCTATATACCCTAAACTCCCCACCTGTAGTTTCCTTTAACTGGGCCTTGCTTTTCAGGTCCGGCTGGTCCTGGAGGTGGCAGATGCCTCCCCGAGTTTAAAGGACCAGCTAGGCCGGGGTTTAGGGTTTAGGGGGTTTAGGGTTTAGGGGGTCTAGGGTTTAGGGGGTTTAGGGTTTAGGGTCTAGGGTTTAGGGCTTAGGGTTTAGGGTTTAGGGTTTTTGGCTTGGAGTCTAGATACAATTCAAGGAGTTCTAGGTTCAGAGAATCATGTTTCTACGGTTCCGGGAGCGTCAAATTTGAAGGTTAGAGCCTGGAGCGTTTACGAGGCTTCACATATTGGTTTCCGCAAGGCTACACCAGTCTGTTGAAGTCCGCCTGTTGAATTTACCATTAGATTTCAGCGTGTCGGGCTTTCAGAGTTCAAGATCTTTTACGGCTTTAGTTTGCAGGCTTCTCGGGTTAAGTCGCTCAGAAATTAAAAAGGATTTTTAGCGTGGGGTGGTGTGTGGAGGTTGCATGGTTGAAGTGAGGGTCTTTGAGCGAATTATTTTGTGATCAGTCAAATCCCTCTAGGGCACATGATGCCAAAGCCCTAAGCTAAACTCCAAAGCCTGAAGCTCTTGTGTCAGCTGTGGGCTTAGACATAGTTTCAGATTACGACGGTTCTTGTTGGCTCGGCCGGTTATGCAGGCAGCCTCAATGTGAAGCCGACGAAGATGGAGCTGGGTCCGCTTCAGCCTCTTGCGCAGGCCTGCACCCGGTTTAGGGTTTAGGGCTCCCCCCCACCCCCCCAGACATCCCCATACCCTGAGATCTCCGGCAGGGGATGTTTACGGATTCTAGCTTCCGGTATCAAATGCTAAAGCTTCGACCTCGGCAAGAAGCCTTTCAAGTTGCCACCTTGCGAAGCAGGAGGCTAAGGTTTGACTAGGAGTGGTGGCATCCAACTCACGATGCCCAGCTCCAAACCTCTTTGCTCAAACGTCTCGCGGTCTCTGAACTCTTACCCTCAACAACACCCCTCTGGAAGAGCAAAGGTGCCTAGGGGGAAAGACAAGTCAAGGGATGCCTGACTTTCATGCCCGGCTCTTGGCGACAGAAGGACGTCCCGAGCAGTGAGCATTCTGGCAGCCGTTTTGGAGGTTCCGCCGGGTACTGTAGAGCTAGTGTTAGAGCAGGGCCAGCAGCAAGCTCCATGGGTGGAAACACGATCAGCCAGGCGTAGAACTGCTGTGTCAGTTTTCATGTTCTTTTTGTACGTATTTGCCTCAAGTCGGTTTAGGGTTTAGGGTTTCATGGGTAGCGTCATCTGAGTCAAGTTTAGGATCCCGGTGGAGTCGAGCGAGCAGCTCGCCAATGTGCCAGGGCAAAGCCGTTCCGCTCACCTTCGAAAGCTTGTCTCACAGTATGCCGATGCTGAAGATTTCTATGCACTCTTCAACTTGCGCCGGTACTCCGAAATCACGAAGGTAGAGACCAGAAAGATCAGCCTGCGGTTCCACGAACTCATGCTCCAATGGCATCCCGATAAGAATCCACCAGCAAGAAAGGCGGAATGCGAGATCATGACGGTGAAGATCCAATATGCTCGCAAAGTTCTGCTCGACCCAGACCTGAAAAGGCGCTACGACCGCGAGCTTCACAAGCAAGCCGGTACCTGGAGTTACTGGGATTGGTATCTCCGTTGGGGAATCAACGTTGTCTTCATCGTGGGTGGGGCTGCATTGACTTTTGGCGGCGGTGTGGCAGCTTTGCAGACGGGTGGCCTCTCTCTGGCTGCTGCTATTGCAGGAAGTTCCTTGTTCATGGCTGGGGTCAAAGGCTCGGTGGCTATGTGGCGAGACGAGGACTGCAGCTGGACAGAGTATACCAAGGAGTTGGGCGTCGGAGCCCTCGCTGGACTAGCAGAGGGAGCAATCTCCGCTGCTGGAGCCGGTGCCATTGCTGGCTGTGCCGGTGCCGGTGCCTGCATTGCAGCGGCAGGAATTGGAGCCAGCACAACCGCAGTTGCAAAGCTCATATCAGATGGTGTGGATGTCGCTGTGACAAAGGGCTGGCTGGGAGAGTCCGTCCGAAAAAACATCACGAATTCCAAGACGAGCGAGGACGTCTTCTGCATTGCAAATGCAAAGCAGCTCGCACAAACAACTGCCATCGGGGCAGTAGCCGGCTTTGCTGCACAAGGTGTCGCCACTCATATGGCCAATGCCGCAAAGTCGTCAAACCTTGTGGATGATTTCGCCAACGCGGTGTCCGCCGGGGTGAAAGGACAGGACCCGAACAAGCTGGCAGGGCTGTTGCCCGAGAATTTGGTGCCGCGGCTTCTGGGCAATGTCGCAGGTGCGTCCGCCGATGTTGCCAGAGGCACCAGCTTTGCCGAACGAATCCGCATCGCTGCGCCTGACGTTCAGAACATGCTGGTGACCAGGGCAGAGGAGGCGCCCCCCAGGGAAAGCCATGTAGACGCAAGAATCACGCGAACAGGCTGGTAACTTTGTTTTTGCAAGTGTGGGCTTTAATCTGACTGTTGTCAGGCAGACTTCATTCTTTCACGTACAAACCTGCAGAAAGACTTCGCGGACAAGATCGCTGTGGCCGTGATGCGCGAAGGGTTCAAGCTCTGTGCCGACAATTCCCTGCAAGGCACTTCAAGTATGACTGCGGTAAGAGGTACGGCCAGTTCCGCTTGGAGGTTTCAGGCTTCCGGGTTGAAGGCTTATGGCTTCGATCTTTGGAATCTTGAAACATGAGAAGCGGCTCGAGTAGTCTGACTGAGCGATGCTTGCGGTGTTTTGCCAAAGTGTTGCACCTGACAGGCGGCTGGGGTGGTCCTGATTGGGTGCTTCAATATGCCAGAGATGCAAAGAAAACCCGATTCGGGATACTGGTCTTGGAAGGGGGTCACGATTTCTTCCACAGCGCACCATGCTGCAGCGAGTTGTACACGGCGAAACGGGCAGATGTGAACCTGACAAAGGTTCACGGCACTTCCATCAAACGTGGAGAATATCTTTGGGTCATACTGACTGAAGAGGTCTTTCCGACAGCTTCAGCTTATGAGCAGTGTATGCGAAGGCGGCACCAGGATCAATACACACCTTACCATTACACGGTGCCCAAACATGGTGGAGCCAGCGCCAGTGGCAGCGACGGTTGTGGCTACTATACATACTACTGTATTGTGCCAAGCGGTCTCGCTGCTCGTTTAACAGGTGCCAACCGCCAACGGTTTTGACATGTTAACACGGCACGATAGGGCTCCGGGCGAAGGGGCAGACGTTCCCAGTTTAACCTGCAGATAGGCATTCAGACAAGTTGAGGTACCTGCTTACTGAGTCATGACGGGTCCCGCGGCAGCCGGAAGCATGAGTTGAACATCTTGGATTTTATAAGGCCGAGTGAGGCAAAGCTCGGCTTTCTGGCCGATGTCCAGGGGTGTTGTTGTGTGCCAGGTTGGCCATAGTCGGCTCTCCCAGATGTCTTGTTCCGCTTTCTGGACATCGAATCACTAGGGCCGCGTAGGGCACCAAGTTATCCCAAGTGTAGCTCTCCGCGGCTGAGTTCCTTCTGCGAATGTGTTCATGGCGCGGCTAATCTTTCAACTTGAGCCTTCCACCATCCTGTCTTCGCAGCACTTGAGCTTGGCATTGCCATGCACTGCCTGGGCGGATGTTCGAAGAAAAGCTGCGAAGTGCATCGGCCTGCTTCTTTAGGAGAGAGGTCTTCACAATCGCATCCTAGGTCATGACAGTGACTAGCTAACCCTTGAACTGCCCAAAAGGTTTAGCTTGTTATGCAGCAAGAAGGCATCAATCCTAACCGCTTAAACCTAGTCCCTAAACCCGAACCATAGCTCCAAAGCCGACAGGCACGCCTGTTCCTTTGCCGTGCGGCCCGGCCCCTCTACGACTTCGAGTTGGCAGGGGAACCAGGAGAGTCTTTCGGAGTTTTTGTCGGCTTGAGGGGACTAGGGTTTCGTGCATTAGGGGTTTAGGGTCTAGGGTTGTAGGGTTTAGCTGCGACAATCCACCTTGCCTTCCGCCTAAACCCTAAACCTTTCGTCCAGGCCTTAAGTAGAAGTCCCGACCTGATGTTCAATGCTTCGGACCTAGCGCTGTCAGCACGGTTAGGGTTTTGGGGAGGATGGTTCAGAGGATTTGCTTATGGAACATTCCACTAGGCTGTATGCAAGGTGGTCTCCAGAGCCTGAGTAGCTCTGCTCTGTTCTGGGTTTAGGGTTTAGGGATACGTTCGTGTTCCGGATGGCAAGCTGAGTGGTTTGAAGGTTTCGGGCATGCAACAAATTGAACTTGCAAGTGGTCTAGGACAGTTTCAGGTGGGTAGTTACCGTTATAGGAGCCTTATAGAAGGTCTATATACCTTATAGAAGCCTTATAGAAGCCCTATATACCCTAGACTCCCCACCTTTAAAGTGGAGCCCGCAACGCTCCGTTTACACTCCCGAGCGACCAAACTTGACAGCCCCAGGTAATAGGGCCTCATCCTTCTTGCAGGTTCAGGTCTAGTCTAGGTACTTTGTTGGGATCCCTAAACCCTAAACCCTCAACCCTCAACCCTAAACCCTAAAACCTAAACCCAAACCCCTGAGATCCTACACCTAAACCCCCGAAACCCACTGAATCCAAAGTTGTACCTACCGAGTCCCTGGTCCTGTCAATGCAGCCAGGAGCCAACGTGCCCAGCACTCCGCCAAAGATCGCCGAGGGCTTTGGGCAAGCGTTGGGGGATCTCATGGCGGGTGACTCAGTGTTTCGGTCTCCGGCTTTGGGGTTATGATTTTCGAGTTTTAGGGCTTTGGGCATACGAGCTGCCGTAGGGTTGAAGGCGAAGTTGTGTAAAGGGGTTTGGGTTTCGGGCTCAGGGCTTAGGAGTTAGGCTTAGGGCTTTGGAGTCTTCAGCTTTAGGATCTATAGATGTTGGCGTCAGCGGTTTAACAGACGAGCATGAAGACCCTTGTCGAGCTTTGGGGCCTCGCGAATGAGGGGTTGTTGGGTTTAGGGCGTAGGGTTTGGCAGTCGTTTCAGGATCGTTGAGGGTTTAGACTTTTGGCAGGAAGGAGGAGCATGGAGATGTAAGGTTTGGGTCGCAGACGGCTGAGCCAAGTCGCGGGGATCTTGGGCCAAATGCTGACAATGCCTGTAATCGTAGTTGTGGTTCAGGGCTGGATTCAATCCTCTGTGGGGAGTGTTCTGTGTTCCCTTCCAACATCCTACTGTGGGTTCAGTACGAACAGGAAGTGGAAGCCCCCTTGCATCAAAGAAGTCCGGACTGGGTAGACCGCGCCCTAATTCAATGACTCTACCCTAGACCCTGAACCCTAACCATCTCGTTTTGGCCACTGGTAAGTGCCACAGCTACTGTCACTGCACGGGCAACTGAAACCTGCCGGTTCGAGGTTTGAGGAAAAGTGTGTCGGGCGTCAGATTATTTCTTCCTGTAGGTTTAGCGGCCAGGGGCTGAGGTGTATGGCTGATGTATCTTAGACCCAACACTTCGCTTTATTTTGTTTTCAATGCTGATAATGCATTAAAGTACACCCTCATGCACCGTAATATGCGATGGCTTACTATGATGTACTGGAACATACGATGATAGAGGATGTAGAATTTATATACTATGCTGAATGTACTACAAGCTGTACTATGATATTAGGATGGCAGGAATGTAACTTTGCGCTCCCGGCCTAGTTCTGGTTCCCCACTCTCCTCGTCAGCACCAAGTTCCTTAGTATTCCCGTATCGTCCCTACAGAATTCTAGCAGAATTGTGTCCCGCAATCTCATTTTGATTGTTCAGGTCCTGATTTCACCCTGCCTCCGCACAGACGCTCCCTGGTTATCCCGGAGTTATCCCTGGTTCAGGTCCTGGCAGAGCTTCCGTGGATGCGAGACTTCGAAGGAAACCCGTCGCGCATCGTCGATGCGGCCCAAGCGCTGTCGGCAGCTGAGTGTGTATTTGCGCGCAAACACACATGACTCTCTCTCGCTCTCTCTCTGTCTCTGTCTCTTTCTCTCTCTCTCTCTCTCTCTGTATGAGTTCGTGAATATTCATGCTTGTATGTATGCATGTATGTAAATGTAATGTATTGTTATGTTATGTTATTTCATGTTACGTTCTGTTTTGTCGTGTTATGTTGGGTTATGTTATGCTATGTTATGTTATGTATGTATGTATGTATGTATGTATGTATGTGTATGTATGTCATACATACATACATACATACATACATACATAACATAGCATAACATAACATAACCCAACATAACACGACAAAACATAACGTAACATGAAATGTATATATGTATGTATGTATGTATGTATGTATGTATGTATGTATGTACACATGTACACATGTACTATGCCTACATGCATACCTAGATGCTTACAAACTTATACAATAATTAAATACTTTGCACACATACATAGGACAATTAATACATATATACACACGTGGAAACAATGAATACATAGATGTGTACAGATTATACATATACTATATATATATATAAAGACGCATGTGTAGATATACATACGCATACGTTAGCTTGCACTGGCAATGGAATACATGCACCCGATACCAGAACCACCAACAACCAAGCAACACTCACAGCATAGACGGCCATAGAAGAGTTCTAGCACGGTAGTAAGTTCTTCTTCTTCGCAAGT